ACCCGTTTTTCAAAAGTTGTCGCTAGGAGATATATATGCCCATACAAATAATGTAGTACTCGATGGCGTAAAAGCGATAGGGAACTTTTTCCCCATAACAGATTGTTGAGTTGGGACAAGGGTTCACTTTTTGTGAACAGGCTGGGAGATCGCATGAAAGCCCTTGAGTAGTTTACACTCTTGCCTTTTGGTAGCTGCGGACAGGAGAGCCGATGATGCGCCTCCGAAGCACCCGCCTCGGGTGCACCTTTGCAATTCGCTAACAGGGTTTTGTTGCATTTTTGCAATGTAGCTGTGGGGTCACAAAGTTTACGAAGCTTCGACTGCAGTGTCGGCTCTTGCTTGGTCCAAGCAGGGCATGGACAAGTGAGCAGCCTCTTCCTCTGCCTTCCATTTCAAAGGGCATGGACAAGTGAGCTGCCTCTTCAAGCAAGCCTTAACCTCTGTTGGGTTTCCTTTGCTGACCATCTGCGTTGTTGTGTTTTTTGCAGCCACTTTTAGCTCTTGTCAGTGTGCTTTAACAGTTACTATGTTCATATTGCTGGGGGTGTTTGTTCCCAAATGTTTTGCAAGCTGCCTCTTTTTTTGAGCTGGGAAATGTTGCTTTCCATTGAACTTTCTTAATCACTGGATCCCGCAAGAGCTCTCTCTGTGTCTCTCTGTTGTGCTCCAGATGTTGCTAGGCTCCTGGAAGGGGAGGGAAAGGCTTTCCTGGCCTCTCTCTTGGGCTGCCTCCGACGCTTCGGACCAAAGGGCGAGGATGGAGGGATGGCTGCAAGCCAAGCCCTGGGAGGAGGAGAAGGCCGGCGAGGCAAGGCGAGGCAAGGCCCTCCGGCCCTGGGTTCAAGGGGTTAAGGGGAGGGGGCGGGGCCAGGGTGACGTCACTCAGCCAGAGCGAGAGGGAAAAGCCGGAGCCAGAGCCGGAGCCTGCCCTGGGAGTCTGGGCGGTCTCCCCTCCAAGGACTAACCAGGGCCGACCCTGCTTAGCAGCCGAGAGGAGCTGGGCCCCCGGGCCCCGCCTTGCCTGGCTGGACCGCCTCTCCTCCCACAGCCTTGGCATCGATGGGTCTAGGGCAGGCCTCGGCTTCCTGAGACCCCATGGGGCCAGTGGATCTCCTCTGGGGGGATCTGGCCCTTGGCCGGAAGGAGCAGCCCCGATCCGGGATCGAAAAGGAGGACCCCCCCCCTCAAGAAGCCCAATCCTCCTTTGCGAGGGATTCTTTCGCTAAAGATCGGGAGGGACCGAACGGGTTAACCTTGAGCTAGCCGCCTCCGCCTCGTCCTCCTCGTCCTCCTCCGGGCCGAGCGGCTGGATCGAGGTCCAGATCCGGCCCCAGCAGGCCCTCCGAGGCTGAGAGAGTGGAGCCATGGGATGCCTCCGAGGTAAGGCATGGGAAGGGGGCTGGAGGGGGAATCGTAGTCCCGCCTGGGCGCCATTCCGCTGGCCTGGAGTTGGGCTGGAGTTTGGGGCAAGTGGAGGGAGGGGGAAGCCCCCCAGACCCCCCCCC